CACCCGCCGGGGGTTCTCTGGGGGGGGGGGGGGGGGGCGGGAGAGGCCGAGGCTTGCCTTGTGAGTCTGCACTCCCCCCTCCCCCCCAGCTCTTCTTCTTGCTGGGAATGCCCCCTGCCCACCAGTTAGGTGCCCTGGCCTTGCTCGGGGTGTGTGTGTGTGCTGGCAAGCTGGGGGTTAACCACGGTCCACTCCCTCCCCGGCCGGGCCGGGCCTCCTGCCAGCCAGAGGAGGGCCCTTGGCTGTTCTGCGCACTGCCCGCCTTCCCCTATTTTAGTTCCCAGGATTCCCCCCACCCCCACCCTGTAAAAATAACCTCCCCAAACCAGTTGGAGCAGAGGAGATGTCTTGCTCCTCCATCCCCCCCCCCCTCCAGCCAGCAAGCCCAAAGAAACTCTGATGCAGAAGTCTTCTGTGTGGGCACCGAGGTGTGGCGAGGGGGGGCTGACCCTCCCCGTCCCCTCCTCTGCTGAGTCAAACTTGGCCATGCCCGGCCCTGCTGCAGGGCGGGAGGGGGGGCCCTGGGCCGGAGGGAGGGTGTGAGCAGGGCCTGTGCTCCCCCCTCCCCATCGTGTGGCTGTGCAAGTGTGGGGGGGGCGTTGCCGCCGGAGCCTCAGCCAGGAGCCTCTCCTCCGCTCTCTTCCTTCCTGTTCCCGCCGGCCGCCTCCCTCCCTCCCTCCCTCTGCCCCGTGGAGAAGCAGCAGACCGGCTCCTCCAGCTTCCCCGCCGCCTGCCTGCCTGCCTGCCTGCCTGCCTGCCTGCCGCTGCCATGGTGGCCGGGATGCTGATGCCTTTGGGGCAGCTGCGCGCCATCTACGAGCTGCTCTTCCGGGATGGCGTCATGGTGGCACAGAAGGACCGGTGCCCACGTAGCCACCATCCCCAGCTGCCGGGGGTCACCCACCTGCAAGTCCAGCGGGCCATGGGCTCCCTGCGCTCGCGCGGCCTGGTCCGCGAGACCTTTGCCTGGCGCCACTGCTATTGGTACCTGACGGACGAGGGCATCGCCCATCTGCGCGACTACCTGCGCCTGCCGCCGGAGATTGTGCCCGCCACCCTGCAGCGCACCCGCCGCCCTGTTGCCAGGCTGAGGCCTGCCTCCCACCCGCCTCGCACGCAGACCGTGTCAGGGCCGCTGGCCTGCCCCCCCAAGGCCCAGGAGGCCTCGCGGCAAGCCTATCGCCGGAAGGAGGACCTCGCCCCGCCTGCCGTGCGGGCAGCGTCACAGGTGGCATCGGATGCCCATCCCGCAGAAGGTCAGAGACCCTCAGGAGGGGGTCTGGGCAGAGATTGCTTTGGGCAGGGGAGGGGATCCCCCCCCCGACTTCTGGGGCTGGGAGGCCGTGCCGGGGCGAGAGGGGCCGGACTGACGGGGGTCGGGTGGGCCGTGCCGTGCTGTGTGGGCCGCCCCTGGCCCGGGAGCTCTCTGGGGGTGTCAGAACTGCCCCTCCTGGCTTCTGGCCCCGTCCTCCTCCTCCGGGAGTGGCCTGCCAGGAGAGCGGTCCTCTGTGGGTGTGCCCGCCCGCGTTCTGGGGGTTCTGACTGTGGATGAGGGATTGTTCCAGGGAAATTGCCCTGGGCCACGCGGGAGCCTCAGCCGCAGCGGTGTGATTTGCCCCGGCCTGCCGTGTGGGGCCATGGGGCTGCGTTTTGGTTGGTTCATTCATTTGCTCCCTCCCTCATTCATTCATTCATTCATGACGCCAGCCCCACTTTCGCCTGGGCCTGCCAAGAGACGGAAGCCATGCCACTGTGTGTGTGTGTGTGAGGGGGCCAGATGGGTTCTTCCCCCCCCCAGCCTGGTTGTAGGGAGGCGTGAGGTTCTGGTGGGCCCCACTGCCTGGGTGCCCTTTGCCCTGTGGGGCAGAGCCAAACAGCCCCCCTGGCTGCCATGGAGTCCCGTTGTGGGGCAGGCCTTGCTCTCTGGGAGGGGGGGGGCTCCTTTGCTGACAGGTGGGCGGCAGCTGCAGTGGGCCTGGTGCTATCCTTGGTGCGCGAGCCCCTTCCCCCCCCCCGCGTGCCGGGGCCCCTCCCCGCCTCGTCTTTCCTTCTGCCAAGGTCAGAGGCAGCTGGGCTGTCCCATGGAGGAGGAGGCGGCGGTGGCAGCGGCGGCAGCGGGAAGGGTCCCTGGGGAAGGGTCCCGGAAGAGGCGGCGCACGGGGCGCAGGAGGAAGGGGGGCCGCTCCCGGGAAGGTAGCTGGGCTGCGGGGGGGGGAGTGCCAATCCGTGCCTGTGCTGCCCCCTGCCCCCTCCCCATCCTGGCCGGCCAGAGCTCCCCAGTCGCCTTCCTGGCATGGGGGGAGGGTTCCGTGCCAGGCCTCTCGGGCAAATGGTTCCCTGGGGTGGGGGGGCTTCTTGGGGCGCGTTTCA